TTTTCTTTGGCTTTTCTTTCTTTATTTTTCTTTTCTACAACTCTTCCCCTTTCGTTGTTTACATTGAAATCAATGTTTATCGTGTGTGTATATATATAATTCTCAAACACACACAAAAAATATTGTTCAATTAAATCAATTTTTTATAGGCATTAATGATCTTCTTTAAAAAATAATTTTGTATGATCATGATATTAAAAACAAAACATATTCACGATTAACCTAAAGCAATTGCGCAATTATACTCTCTTTTTTCATTGTTTATATTGAAATCAATATTTTATTTCTTATACTATCAATTTGACAAGTTACCTTTCGAATGGACTTGAGTTACGTTGATCAATAACTTGAGTTACATATCTTTACACGCGAGTTACATCATTCATTCTACTGGACAAAATGAAAAAAATAGTTACTGTACACGCGTGTACTGTTCATGCACGCGAATTATTTTAAAAAAAACTGTGCAAAGCCACATCGATTTGGGAGTGGATCGAGCATGATGCTCACGGTGGAATGATCCCAGGTATACGAACGGGTAATCATCATATAATGAGATTAATTTCGATGCAATTTTCAAATCATAAATTGCTAAAAAAACAAATGTCTTGTGGGTTGGCTAATTAATGGTCTGGACGCATTAGACCGGATGATCTTTATACTTTCATATAGTAACATAAAACCTCGGATTGCATAAATATTTTTCAATTCTGATATTAACTTAGGTCCGCATTTTTGTTTAATTGTTTAGTAAATTAAAGAGTGACGATTATATTAATATTCCTTGTCTTTGGAAATTGGAATCAAATGAACCAATAATTTCCAACCATCCATGCACGGCGGCCATCAAAATGTCTATTTAGTTTATACACTTCCATAAGTTATTGGTTTGTGTGGGACCTTTCACGTGTTATTTTACTGAAATTTGTTGTCTAAAGAATTTAATTTTATGCAATATTGGATTTATATTCACTCATGGACCCCATATGATTCCATTTATCTATCACAAGCTTGGATGAGTCAGCAAAAGAACAATTTTATTTCATTAATTAAGCTAAGACTCATTAATGATTGAGGAGGGTTAAGTTTTTATCAAGCGTACATGCACACACGTTATTTTCAATATGTCCGATATGATAAACACGCCCGTTATAGTTACGCTCTTTTAAAACAGAAGTAACTGTTGTCTCCCTCATTCTTTAATTTGGGTTGAATTTTGGGAGATGGGGATATATATTACACGGTACGTATAGGGAAGGAAAAAAAGTGTCTATAACTAGAAGGACGGTTGTATATTGAGGTGGACCGATATTTTTTGAAATTTTTTACGTGTTAAATTGCTTTAATAGTGTATACAAAAATAAAACTGGGGTGGATCGGGACTCAGGTTGCCACCTCTCTAGCTATGACCATGCCTATAAATATTAAATAGGCAAGGAAAAAAGAAGTGCCTATACATAATAAATCGGGAGAACTTAGAGGGTCGTAAACGAACCGAATCGAGTCGAATAATGAGATTTTGTATTTGTATTTGTTTAATTTTTTCGAATACAATTCGAATTCAAATATGAAACGAATATTAATTTCGATTTGTATTTGTATTTGTTTAACAATACGAATAGTTAACGAATCATATACGAATATCGAATCAATTTGAGCATAGGTTAAATATTAGTCAAATATCACTTTAAAATAACTTTTCTTATATTCCGTATTTTTTATGTTGTAGATGTATGTTATGACTTTTTTTAGTAAAGATGTATGTTATGACTTAATACGTGTTTTTAGAATTTAAATTTAATGGAGCAAGCAATGCATTTTTAGATGGTGCACAATATACTAAGTGAATTACTTTTGTGATTAAAAAATATAAATCCATTTCAAACTTTTTGAAATAAACACTAATAACACACATATATTAGAAATTATACTTATAATGTGTGAAATAAGTTGATAATTGTATATATCAAAGTCAAACAACTCTAATTTTATTCTTCAAATCGAATGCATAATTATTCGTTTTTTATTTGAAAGACATTTGAACCAAAAAATTGATTTTTATTCGTATTTATATTATGGTTTATTACAAATGGGCTTGGAATCCCTATGCAAATTAAAAATGTATATATGGCTACATTTTGAGAGTATTGCTATCTTTTAAAAGTTATTATAGTGTTATTACTATTATTATTTATTAATGTTGATATTAATATTACCATTATTATTAATCGAATATATTTGATTAATATTCGAATCGAATATGCTGATATTCTTATTTGTATTTGATAACAACTCGAATCAAATTTAATATTCTTATTTGTATTTGAATTTTTCGAATTCGAATCGTCTTATACGAATTCGAATCGCGAATCGAGTACAAATTATTTGATTCGTTTACAACTCTAGGGAGAAGTTTTAAGGAGTCATATAAATATATAACTCACATGGAGTATTATATATATACTCACATATCATATTCACAACCACTCATATTCCACAAATTATATTGTAGAATAGACAAACCTTCCACAAGCCTGGTCATCCTAAAATGACGTCATTTAAATTTATAATTAAAAAAACAAATTATCTTCTTTTAGTTGATTTCTTTGTTTCCTCTTCTTCTTGATTTTATGTTCTATAATTCTCTCCTTTTTCTTTTTTAATTTGATTCAAATTTTGAAGATTATGTCAATGTTTTTCTCTCATTAATTCACATTTAAGGCTTTCATAATCTACAAGCATTCGCAAGTTCAAATGATATATAAGTACATTTAATTCCAACTAATTTTGTCGTGTTCCATCAACTAAATAAAACTATATTACTTTTTCACATTTTGCATACGTTTTTATTGTATTTACAACATTATCTCCACCAAGTGTTTTAAGTGCATGTACTTAATAGTTGATCTTCAACGCATGCATGTTGATACATATACTCCTCCGTATGTTTCTTCAATTACATTATTATGTCAGCGTGTACAATTATATGTTTCTTCAATCCGAGTGTTTCATATTTGAAGTCCAATTAAACTTATATATCATGTTTCACTAATCACACAAGAATATACTCGATCCCTCATGTCTCTTATAATTTTTTCAAATTTCAGCTGCACAGGAAATTCGAAAAATTCAAATACATTCTTCAATCCGAGTGTAATAATAAAGCTCCTATTTTGTGATTAATAATAGGAGCTACAAATTAATTAATTAAATTCATTAATTAATTAAAAAAGAAACTAATAAAGTGTTTTGGACAATCATTAGAGGAAAGATGATAAAGTTATGTGGAGTATAAAGAAGAGGCCGGAGTATCCCATTGTTATCTTGAGGAAATTAACATAGTATTTGTATTTGAAATTTCATATTGTTATATCTCATATATTTCAGAAAATTAACTTCAGATCCAAATTTCGACTTATAATTGCCAAAAATTAGAACAAGTGTCCCATACTCCATTTGTCTAAATTTGATCCTAAGTTGTCCTCAAAAGTGTCTCATTTACAATCTAACATTTTGTGTTTCTATATGTTTAAGCTCCTTAGTACTAAAAAAGTTTCCAGTTTTTTAGAGAATCATACTCCACAATAAAGACATTCCTTATTCAGGCCACGCATAAAGAAAAACGACGATAATGCGTATGTCCTAACTCCTAAGGTTGAGCTAAGGTTAGAACCTCTTCTTTGATCAATTCCTCATAATAATGCTGCCAATATCCGCTAAATCCTCTAATGTACCATACTATATATCGTATTAAGAGTTCAAGAAGTAACTTAATAATTGTTTGACTCCTAATTTCCTCCACTACAAAGTGGTCTCACACGAATAAAACTCTAAATATTTATATGAAAAACTGGTATATATACTACTAGTAGAGTTTTTCCAAACAAAAATATGACTACTTATGTTTTTTGGTCAAAAATATATATGATTACTCACTATGTACTATATATATGAATAACTGGACAAGAATTATTATAGTATATTTAAGAGCGACAAATCCCTGATAGATGATGAATTATTGAATGAATCACTTTTTGAAAAGTTTTAAAATAAATTATGTTTTTTTTAGTTTTATTCATTAATACTCGTACCAAAAGACCTATTTATATGCGCAATTGCATCTTTTTTTTTAAAAACTGTGCAATTGCATAACGATCAAATAGGCGGATAAGGCGCAAGGAAAGATATGATATAAAGGGGTATTATATAAAGGGGTATAATGGTAAATCGGAGTCGGTCATATTTGGGAATTAAAAACGTTTAATCCTATTTGTGCATATATGTTTATTATTAATCAGGGAATTACTAAATATTTTACCAGTAGATCATCCAAAAAGTTTCTCAAACCAAATTAAGGGGCCATTCTTAACCTCTTGATTTTCAAATTGTTCAAATGTTCAATGCAATGTTAAACTAAACGGTCCGTGTACACGATTGCATGTGAACTACTTGTACGGTCTTTGAAAATTTTCGAACAGCAGACCATTGAATCGAACGGTCAACATGCACGACCATACGCCACATACAAATTAATTAGTTTTAAGTATGTTTTTAGGCCCTGTAATTCTGTAAATATAGTACATTTTTTTAACATTCTTGTGAAATTATTTTTTATTTTTATCCCTGAAAATTATGTTAGTTTTTTTATAGTTCATCACTAATCATGACAAACTCTGTTTATTCTCAAAATAACTTTGAGATCATAACCTAATTCTTTAGAAATTTTTGCTCTAAGTGGGACTTAATTAATTGTTAAACTCCATCATAGGACCGATAATATAGTTTTCCCTATTTAGGACTGTCTTAGTCCTATTATAATTACGTCTATTTGTCAAATGTCCATTATAACCTTCTTTAATAAATGTTTAATTATCGTTTCCGCCGTTATTCGTTTAACTCGTTTCCGCCGTCATTCGTTTAACTACCTTCTCCCTGCCGTTTATTTTGTTTCGGTTTTAGGAAGCTATTTCTGAACTTTCCTTCCTTCTATCTTCTCCATCGCGATTCTTTCTGTTTTTTTGTTCTTCGTCGATCGTCGTTGTTCATCGATTTTGAGAGCGCACAATCGGACATTAATTCAATTGGACCTCAAATTTCCAGGTATGTAATTCAATACTTAAATTGTAATTATTTACGTTTAATTCAATCGTTAATTTGTAATTGTTCATGTATTACGCTTAACTTTTGTGATTGTTTTTTCGATGTAATCAACACGTGATTTGTAGTGTTTTGTATTTGAATTAGATAATTTCTTTTGTGTTTTTGATTTGTGATTCATTATTGTTCTCTTCTTTTGTCTTTGCCATTTTTTTGATGTTTGTTTATGTTTGTGAATTGAAATATCCACGGAATGAGGTTTTATGTTTAGTTATTGCCATATTTTGATTGTTTTTGTAATTCGTTGTCATTTTTATATATTTACTGCCAAGTTTCTCTGTGTTGTGCTTACTTTTTCTGCTTTGGTTTATATGTGAATTTTCAGTTTGATGGATCCTGCTGTATTTGTTATGCTGAAGTTGGATGGTAGCTGGTCTTCTGACTTTACGTTTAATCATACTCATACGTATGCTATTCATGTCCGCTCTCTTGCAACATATGATTCGTTTATTGCAATGTTTACGGAGATGCTTCTTCAGTATAGGCCTCATCATAAATTCAAACTCTCCTATTTTCTTGAAGGTTTCCCTCAGCCTGTTGAAATTAATGATGAGTCCAGTTTCAGATTTTACCTTGACCTTAAGTTGATAGAAACTGATCTTTATAAGTTTCCTTTATGTGTGGAGTTTTTTTCTACAAATACTCTTACCATTCATTCTGAGGAGCAATATATTCCATCTTATCAGTCATATACTTCTTCTGGTCAGTCTTCTTCCAACATTATTTGTCAAGGAACTACTAGTGGTAAACACTGTGCCTTTGATTTTGGTGATGGTGTTCGTTCTGAATCTTTGTCATCATTTAGTGACTTATTAACTTCTGTGGTCAATGAAAGCACCTCACATTCAGAAGACAGTGATTCGTTTTCAGATGAATCTCTCCCACCATCTCCTAAATCAGTTTACAGTTTCCACAATCTGGAAGTTCTCACACATCATCATCCAACTTGCATTGCTCTATATGCTATATACCAGAATAAGCGTGAGCTGATATATCATTTGAAGATGTTTGCCATCAGTAACAGCTTTCAATACAGAACCAAAACTTCAAAAAAAAAAACTTTACATGTTATTTGTTTAGATCCGGATTGTGATTGGGCTGTTCGTGCTGTCAAATTGAATGGTGTTGAGATGTTTCAGATCCGCAGGTGACTTCAGATATCTACTCTTCTTTTATATTTATGCTTGTTCTTTTTCTTTTTAAGTTCACATGTGCAGTACTAGGTTTTGTGCTTACAGTTTTTCTATTATTGTAGTTTTCTTTGGTTTCAGTTAATATTCAATAATTCAGAATGTATAGCATATGAATTAGTGATTTTAATCTTTTCAGTTGTGTATTCAGTTTTCTTGTTCTGTGAGATGCCATAAACATGGCATTTTGTGTTTACGTACTTGTTTTTGAATGACATATCTACCTCTTAGCTTTTATGACATGTACATTTTTTAATCTCCAGGTATGATCCAGAACATGTTTGCTTTGTTGACTATAGACAGGGCAAACATAGGCAAGCGACATATGATGTCATTGCAAATATGGTTGCACATAAATTTTTGGATGCTTCTATAAACCCGTACACACCTAAACAACTCATTGCTGATATGAGCATGGATTATGGTATTTCGATGTCATATAAGAAGTCATGGAAAGCTCGAAAGAAAGCGATGGAAATGCAATTTGGTTCTGATTCTGAGTCTTACCAGATGCTGCCTTCAATTGCTTACATGCTAAATAAGACAAATCCAAGATCTGTTGTTAATCTTGTTACAAGTGCTGATGATGCTTTTCAGTATTTTTTCATGTCACTTGGTCCTTGGAGAGATGCGTGGCAGTATTGTAGGCCCGTGCTTATTTTGGATGGATCATTCATGAAATCATATTACAAAGGCACCTTGTTGACAGCTTGTGCTCAGGACGCGAATAATCAAATTGTTCCTATAGCTTTTTGTATATGTGAGTCTGAAAGTAAAGCAACTTGGCGGTGGTTCTTATCCAAGGTTCGTTCATGTATTGAACATCGTTCTGACATGTATATCATATCTGATAGGCATAAAGGGATTCTTAGTGCTGTTCGTAAAATATTTCCACATTCTGGCCATGGCTTTTGTGTTGAACACTTACGCCGCAATATGACATCGAAATTCAGAGGCTCTGCAAAAGATTTGGGTTGGAAATTTAAAGCTGCATATTCGGCTTCAACTGTGAAAGAGTTTGAGTATTACATGTCACTGTTAGATACTCAAGATGCCAGAATACGCCCATGGTTAGAAAAAGTTGGTATTGAAAAATGGGCTAAATGTATGTCTGGTTTCAATAGATTTAATGTGATGACCTCAAACTGTGCTGAATCTTTAAATAGTGTGAATGCTTGTGCAAGACAGTACTGTGTTTCCAAACTCATCAATTTTTTGCGTGAAAGAATGCAAGAATGGTTTAAAGCAAGGAGGGAAATAGCTGAATCTACATGTACAAAGCTCTCTGAAAAATATGAAAAGCTTCTGGTTTCCTTACAATTTGAATCAAGTCGTATGAAGGTATGCTTTAGTTGTATTAAAAGTACCTGTTAATGCATTATGTGTTTTATTAGTTTTTGGCATTTAAAATTACAGACTGCCAAAGTTTTATACTAACTACCATTACTTTGCTCTTTTATATATATGTTGCTATATTCAACTTTCATGATCCTTGTTTTCTTATGCTCTTACATTTGATTTTAGGTGAATGCATCTTGTGCATATGAGTTTGAGGTCATTGATAGGAAATGTAGACGCTTTGTGGTCAACCTTAATTCAAGAATATGCACTTGTGGGCAGTTTCAATTAAATCATTTTGTTTGTGTTCATGCTGTCGCTGCAATTGGTTCACGCCCTGGTCTATCTTGTTACAGTTACATATCCACTTACTACACAAGAGATCACTTGTTGGCAACTTGGAGTGGTATAATGCACCCAATTGGAGATCCTGAAGATTGGATCATTCCTTCTGATGTTTCAAGTACTATTTGCAAGCCTCCTACATGTTTGAAGCGCCCACCAGGGCGACCCAAAAGGTCCAGAATCCCATCAATTGGAGAACATGTTGGTTCCAAACGTCGAAAGTGTTCTCGCTGCAAAGTTTTTGGCCACAATAAGAAGACTTGCCGTAATGCTCTTCCAGTCGATAAAAATTGACTTCCTTTACACAGTTTTTAGAGTCCTTTACTTTTTATTATCGCCAGAATAAGAAGAGATGTTATTGGAATGTTACTTTCTATAATAATAAGACTTGATGTACTCATTTTACAGTTTATAATCTCAGTTTTAATTTTCATTATAGATTGTTTGTGCAGTTATATTCTTGGCATAATTAGTTCCTTTAAATGCAGTTATACTTGATAAGATTGCATTTTGTAAATGGATGAAACATATAATGACTTATTTGTTGACTTTTTACAATGACTATATTCCTAGTAAATGTTGGTTTTTATCATAACATTTGTAATGGTATGATTTTAGCTGACCATGAATTTTGGCAATTTATTTCTAGGAAAAAAGAATACATTACGGCACTTTGTGATCTGTAGTGCCACTTTTTTGTTCACGTTTTTGTTTTTTTAATGAGTAAATACTACAACCTTTCAATTGTGTAATTTCAATATGTTATTTCTTTTGTAACTTTCCCTTTATCTTCTTTTTTATTTAGCTTTTTATGATTTGCATTATTTTACACTAACTTCTTACTTTTTATATATCTCATTTAAAAAAATATCTTTGAAAACACTTTTTTTGTTAATACGTATGTTTATGTCTACCAGTTTTTATACTTATATCATTCAGCATATTTTAGACGTTTGTAATTTTATAATGCTTTGATTTCCTTTATTTTTTATTATGGGTCAGATTTTTATGTCCCCCATATTTACTTGCAATTTTCTCCTTCCAATTTTTTCTTGTTGTATTTCGATGAGGTATGCCTCATCAGAAGGGGTTTTGGTTTAGTCACCCCCCTTTTTTTGTATTCTCTCTTTTTTTAATAAAAAAAATAGAAATTTAAAAAAAAATATTATTCAGCATCATTTCTGTCATTTGAGAATAACCCAAGAATAATGGCATTTCCTTTTCATAACTTCCACTGGTATGACAGTATTTCATAACGCAAAACAAAAATTACCAAACAAACTTAAAACCACAAACCACAGTCATATCATATAAGCAGTATCCATAGCAAAACAAAAGCACAGAATCAAAGTTCACAGAAATCCAGGTGTTTTTGGAACTTCTCTTAAAGCAAAACAAACTTATTACATATTAAAACCATTTGTTCAAGACATTATTGGCATTAAAACTCCATTTATCATCAACACTTCACTTCAATCCTTGATAAACTTTGGCAGGTGCATTCCTTTTGCTTCTTCCAATCTCCTTTCACTGTATAAAACCAACTCTGTTGCCATTTTTTTCCTGTACATAGGCATTAGGTCTGGATCGATGCACTCAAAAGTCATTTCCATTATCAGAAACTCAGCAATCTTTAGGACATACATTCCACAGTCGAACCTGTAATCAAATGAAAACATTCATTAAATTAGCCTTAATTACATCTTTAATAATGTACATATACCTTTTCATTTAAAATTCACCATTAGCTTTGTTGTTGACAACTTGTTATTTACTTACGCATTATTTTGCTGTGGGCAGTTCTCTTCAACTTCAATTTCTAGTGGCCTCTCTCCCATTGGCTCTTCGCCCTTGATTTCATACACTTTCAGGCAGTCCATGATTTTGGGAAGCAAAAACTTGATGCTTGGTATGAACGGTCTGATATCTCTCAATGAATACCCCGTTCTGGAAATGGAGTTGTAGAGTTTCACCTTTCTCTTATTGATGTCCAACACTAATAACACCCAATGTTTACCAACATTTAATGGGAAGTACACAAATTCAGCATCTGTCCAATGCAGTGAAAATTTTGATGTAGTCCCCAAGACATCATGCATAATGAGATCATTCTCTGCTGCACTCTGAACAGTTGCTTTGTTCTTTCCTATGTCCTCATGTAGCGTCCTCAGCATTGTAATAAAAAACGGTCCAGTTGTGCTATATTGTTGTCTGAGTTTGTAATGAACTCTTTTCACTGCCAAATAGTGCATTCCCACGTCCATATGCTGTATTTTATATATAAAAAAATTGTATAAGCAATACAGTTTTTTGATAATTATATCCTTGTATACACACATTAATGGCAATAATGATTAAGATTTATTAATTTTGTAATATAGATTTGATGTGACATACCGTGTCTTGCAGCCACTGATCTGGGAAGTAAAGATTGTATAGCCATGTCTTGGACTCAATTTTTATCGTGTCCAGCAACATTGGAATTCCATGCATTCTTTCCTCATCCTTCTTGTACTTTATGTTTTCACCCCCCCTTTTTTTTTTCTTTAGCAGACCAATACTTAGAAAGTCACCAATTCTCTTCATTTCGATCTCAAGTGGCGCTTCAGTTGGGTCTTCAGAGAATGGCCCATATACTGAGCTTGGTGGTGGTAAAAATATGTCATGATTCCTTTTCATTGTTCTTTCTTTCTTTCTCCTCTTTACTTCAACAGTATTTTCTGATGGTGTGTACCTCGCTGGTGATCTTGGACATCTCTTCTCTCTCACCTGTTTACATTAAACATATTATTTAATTCTATAATATTAAACCAACTTGATTTTAATGCATTATATTTATTTCTTTCTTACCACATTAGCTACAGGAATTATTTGTTTGGTTTTTTCTGAAGTCTTTCTCTGTAATGCCACCTTTTCAACTTCATCCAAATGTTTGCAGAGCTCATTTTCAAACTGTGTGTCTTCTGGCAATATTTTTTCTGAATCTGTACTTTGTAATGCCACTTTCTCAACCTCTTCAACATTTTTACACACTTCCTTCACAAATTGACTATCTTCTTGAGAGCCCATGCCCCACATATCTGCATCTTGTTCCTTCTCTGTGTTCATTTCTTTTTTTTCTCTTTCATCTTTGCCCTCAGTACTTCCTTCATTCTCTTTTGGTCTTCCTTCAACTTCTGGCTGAGTTTGAAATGAAAATATATCAAAGTTAGGCATATCATTTTGCTGCACAATAGGCTTCCCCTTCTCAACATGTTGTCTTCCATTTCTGGCCTCTGATGCATCTCCCTCCCTAATTTCTTCTTGCACCACAATATCATCTGCCTCCTCTGCATTTAATTCTTCAGTAATGATCTTATCTCCCTCCCTATTCTGTTCTTCCTCCACAACCCCTTCTGGCTGCTCAAAATTTTTTCCTCCATTTGTGTTGTTTCCTTTCTTGTTTTTCTGTTGCATTCCTGCTCCACATAAGTCATCATCCTCATCCTCATGATTTTCATCTCCTTTCTGCATTTCATTATCCTCATCAACATTTTCCTTGTCCTCTTCTACAGTTTCTTCTTGTCCTGGCATTCCTCCTTCATTCCTATTCATTTGATGCCTTGTCAAATCTCTCACAAAGCGAAGAATTTTGTTTAGTACCACCTCTTGCTTAACTTGTCTTCGCTTGATTTCTTTGACATCTGCCATTATTTTGGCAGTTCTTGCTGTTTGCTTCCTGATTTTCTTCATTAAAGTTTTTGCTTCTTTGGTACATAACCCAGCATTTATCTTCCCTCCACTTTCATCCTCGCTTTCCTCAGTTTCATCTCCTTCATAATCCTTATCATCCTTGCTCTCTCTTGCTTTTCCACCCTTCCTCTTCCATTTTGAAATTCCTTCTGCAACATTTACAGGCCTTCTCTTGGTGTGTTTCATAACTGCCTTCTTTTTGGCAATCTGTTGCACTTGTTTTCCCTTTCCTTTCATCTTTTGACCTCTTTGTCTTGTACGTGAAGCAATACTTGTGGTTTTTTCACTTTCATCTGCTTCAAAATCACTATCATTATCACTTTGTTTTTCCTTTACACCATTTTTTTTTGCTTTTGAAGTGCCTTCACCAGCATTTTCCTTAACTGTTCTTCCCTTTTTCACTGCTATTTTTTTTCCCTTCGCAGCCTTGGTATTTTTTGTTCTTTTTTCTACATCTGAAGCTCCATTTCCTTCTTTTCTTTGCTCATTTTCTTCAACTTCCACTCTAGGACCATCAATATTGAATCCTTCAATCAAATGAAGCTCCTGGTCAACTGGAACAATACCTGTCCATTCAAACTGACACAACACACCATATTAGTAATAATATGTTTTCTCAATGACATCACAGAATATATAATATGTATTATTAATATGTCATATACCTTGTCGTTATAGAAAATTAGGTCACACAAAAGATCCAGTCGAGGCTTCTTATGAAACTCCCACTTCAGTGTCCTTGGCATGATATTTTCTCTTCCTTCTATCACTTTACACAAACCTCCCTTTGACAAGCTTGGGAATGTTTCAAATGCCCATACTTGTAGTGCAATCATGCAACCTGGGAATGTCACTCTTTCCTTTTTGCAGTTTTCTAGTGCTTCACAGCTTTGTTTCATATCAGTTATCAACTCATTCCACACAACTTCACCCCACGGGTAGGCTTTAAAAGCTTCTAAATCATCAACCAGATTCAAATAGTGTGACTCCAATGGTTTTGCTGTTTGATTTCCTAAGAACCCGTGTGAAAGTATATAAAGAAGTGCCAGTTTGACCCCATCATACCTCATACTTGATGGATCAGTACTCTTGTAATTACTAATTGCCTTTAAAATGTCACTCCTTGCAACTGTGGCCTTGCCTCCTAAATACCTATTCCAGATATCTCCCATATGCTCTTGTGCCACCACCGGTTTGTCCCCACTCAGTTTTAAACCAGTGACTATTGCCAAATCCTGCTTTGTGAAACTTATTACACTATTTCGGATATGGAATCGCATCACATTCTTGTCTATCAACCCATTAACATACTGCACATAGTTTCCTACAAACCCAAGTTGTAGCTGTCCACTAACCCAATCCATGCTATCAAAATCTACAAGCCAACCAAAAACAGTTTCTTTGAAATCCTGCAACTCCTCTTTACTCAGAATATCCTTTACCCTTTCCATGACTTTCAGCAGATTGCAGTAGCAATTGACACGCATGTCATCTAATGTTGCCAAAACTGTCCTCTTGAAATACCTTGTTATTGTCTATTAAAAAAGAAATCAATTAAATTCACTGGTTATCATGTCACTGTGTATGTGTATATCATTCACCATCATGTCAGATTTGTGATGAAATATAAAATAATGGCATTTAATTCTCATAACTTCCAA